CTTTTTTTTTTTTTTACACATGTTCAGTTTAATATATTTGGGTTGCTTGGTCTGGACTCCATCTGCCAACCTTCTACTTAGTCCTTGTTCTTAATCCATCTGTTCTTTATAACCACTTGTCCTGCTCAGGGTCATGGGGGACCCACAGGCTACCGAGGAAAGGCAGGGGACCCTTCAGGATCGCTGGGCACAATGACATGGGCAATTTGGGCAATCAGCCTCAGTATGTTATTGGACGGGGGGGAGGGAACCTGAGCACCTGGAGGAAACCCCACAATGACATGGGCAATTTGGCCAATCAGCCTCAGTATGTTATTGGACAGTGGGGGGGGGGGGGACCAGAGCACCTGGAGGAAACCCCACAATGACACAGGGAGAACATATACTCCACACAGGTGGAATCCAGGCAGAGACTCAAGCCCCGGTCCCAGAGATCTGAGGCGGCAGTGGGAACCACTGCACCACCATGCCACCCTTGTTCTTAACCACAAATTTAAAAAAATCTAATTTAAATATAAAGGTAGCTGCTGAGTATTGGTATTAGTTATTAGTATAAGTATAACTGCTAAAAATATATATCTGGTCTATTAGTTATTAGTATAACTACTAAAAATATATATTTGGTCTTTGTTTTCGTCGTCTTCACATCACTTTTTCTGGCGAATGTTGTGTTGGCAGCATTCTAATCATGTCAGAACAGGCTTCTCTTACCAAGGCATTGGGCTCTAGTTCGTTCTGAGGGATGCCCAGATGTTCCCAAGATAGCTAGGAGATTTAGTCCCCCCAGCATGTCCTGGGTTTGCCCCAAGTTCCAGTGGGACCAGCTTCCTTAGGAGCCAATCCAGTGGCTTGAATCACCTCAGCTGACTCCGATTGATTTGACAGAGTAGTAGCTCCATTTCAAGGTCCCCCAGGATTTTCTGAAATCCTCACATTATCACAGAGAGCAAGCACAGCAATCCTGAGAGAAACCTCATTTCAGCTGCTTGTATCCCCTTTTACCCACAGTTCTTGACCACAAGAGAAGATTCAGACATGTAGTGGCAAACTGTAAGCTTCTGTGAACAAGAGCATTTAAACTCAAAGTACTTAAACTCCTTCACTAAAGGCAGAGTCCCCCCTACCCCCACCTGAAAGGAGCAATCCACTGTTTTTCAAGAGATCACCATGGCCTCAGATTTGGAAGTGCAGATTCCCATCCCTGCCACTTCACTCTCAGTATAAAATTGTTCAGGTGCAAGGTCCTGGTTGGTTGATGCCAGAAGTACAGCATATGGACAAAATTATTATTAATAATAATAATAATAATCGATACTTTATTGATCCCCGTGGGGAAACTGTCTTTACGCCTCCCTCAACTTTCTGTTTTTCGTAGAGTAAGTAGTCTGCGAATTGAGACACACTTCGCGATCATTGAATTCAGGGGTTTCATTCCGACCCATTTTGTCGATTACTCTGTGAATTCAAGTATGATACTGTCATAGGATGCCACCTTTCCAATAAGTCAGTTTGTGAAATTTCTTCCCTGCTAGATATTTGACGGTCAACTGAAAATGGTATTACTGCAAAGTGGAAGTTTTTAGGAACAGCAGAAACTCATCCACAAAGTGGCAGACCATGTAAAGTAACGTACAGGGGTGGCCAAGCACTGAGACGCATAGTGCGTAAAACACGCCAACGCTCTGTTGACTCAATGGCTGCAGAGTTCCAACCGTAGTCTGGCATTAACCCCAGCGCAAAAACTGTGCACTGAGAGCTTCATGGAATGGGCTTCCATGGCCAAGCAGCTGCATGCAAGCCTCACATCACCAAGCGCAATGCCAAGCGTCAGATGGAGTGGTGTGAAGCGCGCCGCCACTGGACTCTGGGAATGTGTTCTGCGGAGTGACGATTCACGCTTCTCTGTCTAGCAGTCCGATGGATGAGTCTGGGTTTGGCAGATGCCAGGAGAACTTTACCTACATGACTGCATGGTGCCAACTGTAAAGTTTGATGGAGGAGGGATAATGGTATGGGGTTGTTTTTCAGGGGTTTGTGCTTGGTCCCTTAGTTTGAATGAAGGGAACGCTTAATACTTCAACATACCAAGACACTTTGGACAATTCTATGCTTCTAATTTTGTGGGAACACTCAGCGAAGGACCTTTTCTGTTCCAGCATGACTGTGCCCCAGTGCGCAAAGCAAGGTCCATAGAGACATGGTTGGGTGACTTTGGTGTGGAAGAACTTGACTGGCCCACACAGAGCCCTGACTTCAACCCCATCTAACACCTTTGGGATGAAGTAGAACAGAGATTGTGAGGCAGCTCTTCACATCCAACATCAGTGCCTGACCTCACAAATGCTCTTCTGGATGAATGGGCTAAAATTCCCACATATACACTCCGAAATCTTGTGGAAGTCCTTCCCAGAAGAGTGGCAACTCTTATGGCTGCAAATGAGAGGACTAACTCCATATTGATGCTACAGATATAGAATGGAATGTCATAAAAGATCCTGTAGGTGTAATGTAAGGATGTCCCAATACTTTTGTCCCTATGGTGTAGCAGGGATGGCCACCTTTAGTCCTCTGTACCGGAAGCCCTTCCAGCTATGGACGCAGCTTAATATCCTGTCAGTGAAAAACAAAAACAGTAATGGGGACAAGATACACCTTTGCTGGAGACCAACACCCACTCCAAATTACTTTTATTTTGTACCTGACATAACTCTTGCTGCATCATGCCAGTGTCCACAAACACATCAGATGACACAACTGTAAAGTCAATCATTGACCTTTGGCCAAGGGTGCTCTGGTACCATGTACACTTACACGCATCCTTGTGTTCAAACATGATGCTCAGTACTAATGGTCCATGACTTGCATAGAAGTCCCGTAACAATTTGCCACTCCTGGAGTCCATACTTCCCAACCCTTCATGCTTCGAAGTCACACAGTACGAAGGCATGGTCTGTAAGGTGGTGCCTTTTTGAGTATCTCACTCACTTTAACCAAGAAGGTTGGGTACACTGAGGTGCTTTTTGGTACATCCACACAAACACTGAAAATTTTTCTCTCTGCAACTCAAAGCCATATAGAGGCCATCCTCTTGTCCACTGGGAAAAAATCCACTTGCACATCCTCAACCTGGGAGTTATGAATATCCACACATGCCTGATATCATGGGAAATTCCGGAGTAGGAAGGATACTCCTGATGAATATGTTTGGTTTCAGAGCTCAACTCTGTGTGGAGATCAAGCCATCTATTAATTGCTGATAGTTTTGCATCTCCAGCACTAATTTCCATTGCTTTGGTTTGATCCATCTGGATCCTTCCTGCTCATGCTTACTACCAAAATAGCATTGCATCTGACCCCCCACCTTTCACCTTATGGGTGGTGAGCCCCAAGGTGGCCCCACACTGTCATTTCTGGTTCTGCCTGGCCACTAGGTGTTCAACAGCAAACCACACCCCCAGACCTTCTGAGTGTTCTGGGTTTTCTGGCACCTGCCTTTGGAGTCTTTTTTGGCTCCTTGCTATGGACCTGTTTGACCCAATGAGGAGATCATGCTTATGACCATGTATTATGGATCGTTAAAGCATGCAGACTCGCCACCACCCCCCCCCCCACCATGCCAAAATCATGAACCTTCGAGGGGATGTAGTCCTTTTCCTTGTTAAAACACTGCTTCTTATTTCAAACTTTGCAATTGCTGGCATTTACACAGCTTATGAAGGCATTAATAAAAGGCGGCAGAGGTGCAAGCACTGTCTGAGCTCCAGACTCATAGGAGGGGGAGGATGAAAACATGGGCTGGCTACCACCACTTTTACTACATTGCGAGATAAACGTAATGCTATGTTTTTCTTTGCCAAAAACTGCAGTCATGGGTATACTGACTGATGTACTCTGACACGGCATTACCACCAACAACCAGAGAGGGTGCTGAAGTACCCTCACCACCCCTAAATCCAGCACTACTGTCCGAACTTTTGTATTCGTACAGTTTATAGAGCGAGTGACAGACTCTGTGCCCACTTTAATACACTTAATATATTCATTACCTTCTCTGCTTTTCGTGCTTCTATGAGGCAATATTCAGCCTGAGTCAAGGGGACATTGGGATAATATACATTAACAAGGATCCACTTTTCACACCCAGAATTTTAAAAGCACAGTAATAATGCCTGGGGCAGCAAATGTCTCCTCTGTGTGATTAAGGAGCCACACAAACAGGCTCTTCCAGACTGGCGCAGCATGAATGACGCACATCTGGTAATGATTAATCCACACACAAAGAACTCCCGTGGTTTTTAAAACAGATTTTAAATTAACCAATGTCCTTCGTCCTCACATTATCTATAGACTCGCTCGCTTGCTTTGAACTTCATGGTTAAAAAGCATCATGATTAAAATGCGTTAAGGACTGGGGGAAAAAAAATCCAAATAAGTAGTTTCCACTTTCTGAGGTGTTTTGGCATAATGTCTGTCAAATTGTGGCTAAATTTTGCTAAATGTACCCTCATATAATTTGAAGCGGTTAATCTTGCTATTGTTGTAACATCACATTATTGTAAATTACTGTTTAAACTTGATGCAGTGTGACTTTTATCATTTTTTTACGTTAATTTGAAGAATTAGATTCATTTGCAAACCTGTAGTACAAAATGACAACTAATGGGGCACCGTGTGGCTCTGCTGGTTAATACTCATGACTGGAAGGTTGTTGGGTCGAATCCTGACTCACAGAGTGATTTCACTGTTGGACCCTTGACAGAGGCCCTTAATCCCAATTGCTCCAGGGCCTGTCAGATCCTGCTCTCCCAATTGTGTGTCACTTTGGATAAAAGCATCTGCTAAAATAATAATTGTAATGAAAAGTTTGGTAAATGATGCTGTCACTTAACCAAATTAAAATCGCCACTGCAGCAGTGGGGCAACACACCTGAATATATCAGTGCCTCACTGTGTTAGTGCTGGTGCTGATTTGCCATTTTTTCTTCTTCTCGTTGCATTAGATTTTCACCCGATACGGCAAGTGCTACACCTTCAACTCTGGGCTAGATGGACGCCCTCTCCTAATCACCACAAAGGGCGGGACAGGGAATGGCCTGGAGATAATGTTGGACATTCAGCAGGATGAATACCTGCCTGTCTGGGGCGAAACAGGTGAGCATGTGACCCAGAGAGACCGTATTGTCCCTTCTGAGCTGTCCTCTCTTTGTTGGTCCTTTATTACACCATGTTTCTCTATGTCTGCTGTTTAAGATGCACCCAACATCCGTCCATCTTCCATAACCTCTTATCCAGTATAGGGTCACTGTGAGTTTGGAGCCATTCCCAGCCAGCACTGGGCATGTCGGTCCATCAGAGGGCACGTGGCTGGGCGCGTCGGTCCATCAGAGGGCATGTGGCTGGGCGCGTCAGTCCATCAGAGGGCACGTGGCTGGGCGCCTTCGGTCCATCGGAGAGCATGTGGCTGGGCGCGTCAGTCCATCAGAGGGCACGTGGCTGGGCGCGTCGGTCCATCGGAGGGCATGTGGCTGGGCGCGTCTGTCCATCAGAGGGCATGTGGCTGGGCGCGTCGGTCCATCGGAGGGCATGTGGCTGGGTGCGTCGGTCCATCAGAGGGTACATGCTGACTTTAGACAGTGGTTCACCTAACTGCCTCTGTCTGGACTGGGGGAGGAAACCGGTGGATCCCAAGGAAATCCACACTAACATGGATAGAATATGTAAACAGGTAGGGGGGGCAGGAATTGAACCCACAACCATGGAGTTAGGAGGCTGTGGGGTTAAGTACTGAACCACCGTGCCAAATTAACGACAACACCGCTCACAAGGTCTCACCCGTACGAACAGGGGTGAACTGTGCCGAACACGGCCATGTCTGCACACTGCCCATTGTACGCATTTCATCATAGCTGTGCCCGATAATTGAAAATAGGCACAATAAGGACATTGCACATTTGGTGACCAGGAGGGAAAAGGGAATTTAGAATCGCCAAGGGAGAATCCACCCCCCCACCAAGGCCAGTCTTTCAAAAAGGATTGAGTGATTCCTGGAGTAATTCCTCCATCCTGTATGAAAAAGGTGGCACTTTCAGTCTGTCCTGTGTCCTGTGAAGATCCAGTAACGGCAAATCCAGACCCAGACATCCGTAGTCTGTCACATGGCCTCCTTCATCACTTTGCTTGCTATTGTTGTGGTTCATACACAAGGCAGCAGAAAGACCTTTCCAGCGTTTTCTCTGTGTTACCTCCCGCAGACGAGACGTCATTCGAGGCAGGGATCAAAGTGCAGATCCACAGCCAGGACGAGCCGCCGTTCATCGACCAGCTGGGCTTCGGGGTGGCGCCCGGTTTCCAGACCTTCGTGTCCTGTCAGGAGCAGGGGGGGGGGTGGGGGGGGGGGGGGGGGGGGAGTGGAACATGGCTGCAGGTTTGAGAAAGGCCTGACTGCTCCAGTAAACCCATCCAGCTGAGTAAGTGGCTGAAAACAAGCCGTTTTGAAAACTATGTCAGCTGGGCAGCTGTGTGAGGTAGGGCAGCTATCAATGGACCATGTGAAGAGACTGTGTACAGGGGCATATGCAGAGGCGGGGCCAGAGGGACACTGGCCCCAGCTGGAAGCTGAATGGCTCCCAGAGTGCCCCCTCCCCTGTCACTCACCAATTTAAAACATACCATTGGTTAATGTTAAGGTTGGGCCCTCATATGAATTATGGCCCTTCTCCTACCTTCCACTTCAAATCATATAATCAGCCCTGTCTGTTTGTGTCCGAATTCCCAACATCCTTCCCCCTAGTTAAACATTTGGCTGTGTGTCAAAAGCATGTAACTCTATCATTTAGGCTCCACAGGGTGTGACTAGGCTGTGCAGATCCAGATGGTTGTTTAATAATCACCTTCACAGCTGTAGCTCGTGATTTCACCCCTCATCTGGCCTCTGACTGCAAAAAACTGCAGAGGAAACATGATGTAAGTTAACCGACGAAAGGTCGGCCCACATGTTTGACTGTCGGAAGTGCCGGACAGGAGTTTTCTCCTGCTCTGTGCTTGGGAGTCTTCTGGAAGCCTTTGCCACTATCCGGTATCATTTGGATTAGCCAATAGAATAGCTCTTCCTTGAGATGCTCCCCTGTGTGGCAAAATGGGATGAGGAGGGGTACAAGTTTCTGCAACGGGCTCATCGGAGCATCCCAGGAAGCCTGCAGGGGCGTCACAGGTGTGTGACGGTGGGCGTGAGGCTTTTACAGGAAAAAGTAAAAGTGTTAATCTTCACATGAAAAGTGCAGCTAATACACTACATTAGCCTTTCTATTACATTATCAACAGCTTTTCTAGCGGCCCCCCTGCCCACCCTCTGCAGACGCTTACACAGTCTCAGCGCACGATTCTCCGGTTAACATGATTACTGTGGAAGATGAGGATGGTAGCTTTAGTTAAATAATTTTAAAACTTGCCTTTTAAATGAAAAAATAGCTTTTCACATTAAAGAATGACACATCTAAATGAGGGCTACATGACATCGGAAAATTATCAAATATCGCTATGTGAATTCTTCGCGATAAATATTGTGATATTTATAAAACAAAAAAGCAGTTGAAAATGTGCCTGAAATAAACCATAGCTAAATAGAGCTTGTTATTATTATTTAATGTTAATACTGTAGAGTAATACTGTGTATGCGTGTATGCGACGCGTGTATGTGTGCGTTTGTTTGTCATGCACACGTTTTCTCTCCAGCTCACATTCCTGCCCCCACCCTGGGGCGACTGTAAGTCTTCAGCCATGGACTCAGACTTCTTCAGCACCTACAGCATCACTGCGTGTCGCATCGACTGCGAGACGCGCTACCTGGTGGAGAACTGCAACTGCCGAATGGTGCACATGCCCGGTAGGGTCTCAGCCTGCTCGCCACACGCACACACGCACACACGCACACGCAGGCACTCTCAAACCTGCCACCAGCTCAGACGCTATTAAAATTATTACTATTTAAATTAGAAGTGGGCAAGCCTAAGGCCAAAGAGGATGACTGAATCCCCACAGCTGATTTTAAGGATATTTCTATGAGGGGAACTGGGTTAATTTAAACGTAATTATGGCTCTGCTTTCAGGCTTCCTGCTTTTTTCTCTCCCAGTGAAAAGACAGCCAGTCCTTCAGAAATGGCCCAGCCACTACACTGGGTTTTATTTCTCCGTTATCTGTGGCGTTCCGTACTCCGGCGGTTCATATAGGCCCTACGGACCCTGTTTACATTAGTATCTTTTTTAGGGTTTTTTTTTTTTTTAATGCAGTAGCACATGGTAAGCAAAAAAAAAACCTACTTTTACATTGCGTTCTCAATTTAAGAAAAATCACATTAATTGCTTACGCTTCTAATCAGGGGGATTTAAAGATCACTGTATTGACTGGCCTCCAAAACACTCGGATCAACCCAAAACGGGCGGTATGTTTATTCGAGATAAGGGCCGCCCGGATACTGACACACTGTGCCCGGGCTCTCTCTCCTGCAGGGGACGCCCCATACTGTACTCCGGAGCAGTACAAAGACTGTGCCGATCCAGCCCTAGGTAAGCCCCCCACCCCCAGCTGCTGGGGCTGTTTTGATCTGTTAGCTACGCCTCGACAAGCCCCACCTTTCTGTCACACTTTATATCCCTCTCCCCATCCTCTCCTTCCTTTTCACTTCTGGTCGTTCCACTCGTAAACGATTTGACCTTCTCAGCTCCTTCTGAATCCGGTTTACTCCCCCAAGATTTCCTAGTGGAGCGGGACAACGACTACTGCGTGTGCGACACCCCGTGTAGCCTGACCCGCTATGGGAAGGAGCTCTCCTTCGTCAAGATCCCCAGCAAGGCGTCGGCCAAGTACCTCGCCAAGAAGTTCAACAAGTCGGAGCAGTACATCTCGTAAGTGCCCGATGGGGGGGCCACATCCAGCCCCTCCCCCTCATGCCCATGGCGACACTTGCCGGGTCCAGCAGCAGGCAGGGCGAGCGACACAATGTGGCACCTTCAATAAATCGATCAATCGATCAAGCTTTACTTATAGAGTCATTTAAAACAACAGGGTTTGACAAAGTGCTGCATAAAATCAAAAATAAGTGTAAGACAAATCAGAGTAGGAAACAAAGCAGGAAAGAGCTGTAAAAATGCATAATGATACACGAGAAATAAGAACCCAACGAAACAAATGGCAGGTGTGAGTGTAAGGATGGGGCTCTGCACTTTAATGCGTAATGACTCATAACCTGGTACCTGGTTTAAGTTAGACCACAGCCCTTGTCGCCGCACACCTGCCTGAGGATTTAAAAATATCCAGGCGTGTAAGTGGGTGAAGACGCAACGTCGCTTTGGATGAAGGCATCAGCCAGGCTGCTGAAGGTGAACCTGAGCGTCTACAGCGGCTGCTCGACCGCGGGTGAAATTGCGAGCTCTTCACGTCACTCTGGCTGATCGTCTTCCTCGAGTAGCTTATCTAACTCACTCCGTCACTCGTTCTTGACACGTAATGATCCGGCTTCCCAGATCGGGCTGCCGCGGCAGTGTGATTCCCGCTAGACGCACACTCTGGATCAGAAATAGCCACGGGGCCGCCCGCGGCCGAAAAGCACGGAGTGGCGGATAGACGGTATTTGTCTGCAGACATCACGTTCGGTGCGGACTGACACTTCGCCACAAGCCAGTTCTATGGGACAGAGATCAATACGGAGAATGATACTGGCTTGTCAAGATAAAACACATCCATCTTCCATCTGTTTTTCCGATACAGAGTAGATGAGCCTGTCTAAGGCAGCACAGGACCCCAGGCAGGGAACATAGTTCATCACAGAATACACACACACACACACACACACATTCGACTTATTTAGCAAAAGCTTTTACCCAAAGCGACATACTTTTTAATTTTTTTTTGAGAAAGCGGGGTCAACCAGTCCCTGGAGCAACTGGGCATTAATGGTCTTGCTCAAGGACCCAATGGTGAAATCACTCTGCCATCCACAGGATTTGAATGGGCGACCTTCTGCCCACAGGCACGGTGCCCTAACCTATTCAGCCACACACTCAGACACTCACCCACTACGGTGGATGAGAGACTTCGATTCAAGTCTTTGCATTAGCTCACGCTAACGTGGAGTGACGTGCAAACTCCCTATGTACCCCGTTCTACTTGTGTACAGGCTTATAACCGATTCCCTCTCACTTTTCCCAAAACCTGATGAAATAAAGGCATGACATGAGACAAAAATCAGACACCGGCGGTTGTTTTTCCGTTTTCATGCTATAGCCACTTAGCACAACAAATTGGCCAAACTGGCCCTGAGTGGGCCGTCTTCCGGCTGCAAAAGAGCCAGTCTTTCCTCTCTAAATCACCTGGAGACCGTTCAAGAGTCACAAGCCGGGGACAGAGTTTGCTGAAGTTTGTGTCCCCGTCTCAATTGCAGGGACAACATCTTGGTGCTGGACATATTCTTTGAGGCTCTGAATTACGAGACCATAGAGCAGAAGGCCTATGAGCTGGCGGGGCTGCTGGGTGAGTCTGTCATCTCATCATGTGGGATGAGATCCTGAGGGATGGGCCTTTTGGGGTTACTCATTNGAAGAAGGCCTATGAGCTGGCGGGGCTGCTGGGTGAGTCTGTCATCTCATCATGTGGGATGAGATCCTGAGGGATGGGCCTTTTGGGGTTACTCATTGGGGGGTGGTTGCCCCAGCCGCCCACCTCACTGCCCTCAGAGGCTGCATTCTTTGACGGGCAATTTTGTTGCCTTCACTTTTACGTGGCCTTGCAGAAACACCATATTCCCAAAGCACGCCTTTCTGGTTCTAAGTGCCTCGACCCCCCGACCCCACTCCTTCCCCTTTAGGTGACATCGGAGGTCAGATGGGACTCTTCATTGGAGCCAGCATCCTGACCATCCTGGAACTCTTCGACTATCTCTATGAGGTGGGGCACTCTAACTGTCATTGTTGCTTTTTTATACATTTAATTCAAAGTGTTATATGGAAGTGGAGCTGTAATATGATATTTGGGAGGGAAAATAGTCAGATAGTCCACCTGCCAGGCAGATATTTCATTTTTATTTTGCATTCATGTCATTCAGCCCCAGGTAGGGTAACGCAGCTTATGCAGACCCTTTTACTGGGACATCAGCATTTCACATTTCATTGTATATGGGTAATAAAAAACAAAGAAAAGTGGCTGGGTTTACAGATCAAAAAGTAAACAAAAACAGCGATATATAACCATAGCAATTTTTGAAAGGCATAAAAATATTACTTTCATTGTTTATTCACTCATTAATATGAATGTTCATTATGCTATGCTGTGCATTCTCTGGAAAAGGAATTTATTTGATATTTTTTGATGAATAATCTGATCCGGAGTAACTGCATTAAATTAAAACTCACAAAAAAGCGTGTAGCCTTGCAGAGAATGATTTTAAGAGCAGCATGCATCATCTTTCTGTTTCCTAAATGTGTATTTAATGATTAATAAAGCCTTAGATACAGTCATTGCAACCCCCCCCCCCCTCACCCCCACACCCTCTGCTGTCTCTGGCCTAGCATTTAAGCTAGGCAGGCACCCAATGCCTCGTACTTAATCTCACCTGCTATCTCCAAAACAGCCCTTCCACTACCCGATGGTCTGAGTCAGTTGTATTTCCATTGTAATTTCTCCAGTTGAAGAGTCTGTCTGACATGGGGTCCTTCTTTTTTTAAGCTTCTCTATTATCCACTCGCATTCAGTCACATCCATTTGCATCCACAAATAACAATTCACCTCCGCTCACACCCATTTGCATCCATCTACATTCAAAGTTATACATTCCCATCCAGGCACATCAAATTTGCATCCTTTTCATATCTTTTTCCAACCACAAGCTATGCATTAGCGGGCGACTGGTGGCTCATCGAGTATCACTGTTGTGTCGCCATGGTATCCTGCCTGTAGTATGTGTGTGTTTTTCCTCCTGCAGTCCAAAGACATGCGGTTAGGCTAATCAGTGCCGTAAAATTGCCCATGGAGTGCATGTGTACTGTATTGTGCAATAAGTCTTAGAATTAGAATCAGAAAACTTTATTGATCCCGGAGGAAATTGCTTATGCGATGACTGCCACAACACGCAACACAGAGACACAAAAGCAATATAAAGTAAAAAATAAAATAAAATAAAATAGTCTAGATAAAATCGAAATAGAAATCTGTAAAAACAATTTAGAAAATCAGTAGTAGTAATAATAAGTACTATTACGCAATAGTATGGATGATATTGCACGGATGATATTGCACATAATAATGCTAATGTTCCAGCACCTATAGAACATCTCACAGTATTGCAAATAGTAGACTGTTGCACATCATAGCAAATCTTAGGCAGTCAATAAATTTTTTTAAAGCTATTTATTTGGGTAGTAAGTGTATATTTGCTCAGAAAAAAATGCTATTTAACATTACAGCAAGTGCAAATTACGAGTAACACAATAAAAGTTACCAAGAATTTCTTCTCTTCTCCAAAGAGTTACTGATATCTTATTGGATGGCTAGAACACCACCGCTCTGTTTCCCAAACCTCTCCTCAGGGGCACCTCAGCCATTCCATGTATTCGTTAAATTCACCACCAGCTTATTAAATAATTGACTTAATTAGTTAAATAACTGAATGACATATTGATTAACCAAATAAGGTTAAGTCAAAAAATACATGGGTGTATTGGATGGTTAACTTTGGGAGAGGTTCTGAAATGGCTAAACTGACACACTGACTTAAAGACAACACATACTTATGAATGGACTGGCCTAAAACCTATTATATAAAAATTTAGGTTAAATACAAAGGTTTGTAATAATGAATGCATGCTCTGCTTTGCGATGCTGATGAAAGCATTACACGGCTTCAGCGGTTCGTCGGCTCAATGTATGGCTCGAGGTTACAGTACCTTATTGTCACGCTCGGGCGATGTGGGCGAGCAGGGAATTAGGCGAGCAAGCCAGGACGTCAGGGAAACGGGGGTTTAATGAACAAAAGACGGGCAAAGCACAGCACATGACAATACAATGACAAGTCTGGGGAAGACTGACTCAGACGAGGACTAAATACACAAGACAAGCTAGACTTAATAGGACACAGGCGAGCACAATCAGGGTTGAACACGAGGTAATGAGGGGGGCGTGGCACACATCGGGATCGTACGGAGCAGGGTGTGACACTTATGTATTTACTTTTATTTTCACTGTATAATTATCATTATTATTATGTACTATACATTTATATTTTTCCGACTTACCTAGAAATTCGACTTTAAGAAATAGTTAGGGAAAAGATCCCATTCGTAACCTGGGAGCTGCCTATGTAGTTTTACACTAACATGAAGATCATTTTAAAATAATTTTCTTTGACTTTTGCACAATACTGTTTGTGTCCTATTATGAAGCGGCATCCTTTCCTTTCCTCTCTATGCTGAACCCCCGTGATCCTAACCAGGATAAGTGGCCAGACCATGCATTGGTACACTTACACATCCATTCCCAGCCACTCACACGCATTTACATCCACACACCTCTATTTGAGAGGCCAGAATTTCTCCCCCTCCTGTCAAGTACAGGGGAGAGTATGACAGAGAAACACTGCTTAGAACATGCTGGGAAAAAATGAGAAGATGACATGTGCTTAAAGTGGCCCCTTCACCACTCAAGGTGAACTGTCGAGCAAAAAGGAGAAGACAGAGCAAACCAAAGAACCGCTCATATAGTCTCTCTGGTAACTTTGAGTACCGCCCTTGGATTCCTCCTGTATAATCTCTGAATTGTCTGCCTCATTGGTGTGGGTGTGATATTAGCTGAAGCTGATCGATTTCTGCAGGGCTGGTCCTTAAGTCTTATGCATTTATTAACATTTTGCTCAGCTAATAATATTCCTCTTATGAATGGAACATTTCTTACCAAGAGCAATTTTATTTTAATGTCTTTCACAGATCTGTTCCACTTATGGAACTAATTTGGCATATGAGGTGGAAAAAATTGATTATGCTTTATTATAATAAAAAATACACAATTATAATATTAGTATTTTTATGATGTTTTGATAATTTATTTCATTCCTAAATTACTAATAAATTTCTTCATAAGGATGTAATTGTCTGTAATAATATTAACAATTACAGATTTTTGATGAACGTAACCCAGAAAAAAAACAGAATTAATAAACACAAAGTAATTAACAGTATAATGTTGATTATTTAGTACAATTTATTTACTAATGAAATATATTTTGAAGCTGAAGCTTAGAGTAATGACAGCATATTACTAATGCATTTATTAACACCGACAAACAACTCTATAAATCAACATACTGTACATATTGTGCCGTGTGCAGCATTTGAATCGGGGGTGAAAATGGCTGACAGTAACTCTGATTTTGCTCACAGGTTATCAAATACAAGGTGTGCCGATGCACAAGGAGGAAACGCAAGCGCAACAACAACAATGACCGTGGAGCCGTGCTGGGCCTCGACGACGTGAAGCGTCACGTCAGTATCCAACCGCCGGCCGCTCAGGCTGGGGGGTTGTGTGGGGGAGGGGAGAGGGACAGGGCCGCCAAGAATGGCAGGAATGCCGTTCAGGAGCAAGGGGCGTTATGGAAGGTTCTAGCAAGTTTCCAACAGTCTGTTTTGCAATCAATTATTAACTGAGATGCTGCTGTAATTGTCCTAAGACATGACACCTGTCCAAAAACAATTGGAATTTTATGCTTATTTGATATTTTACGGTCGTTCGGCTAAAGGTGATTGACACTTGCTCCATTTCCCGAGATTTCGCAGCCCTGAAGGTAACACTCCTCTCTCGGGGCCGTCTGCCTGTCATCCTTCTTGGCTAATGGCACTAGCAAGCTAATACCCATCATCCCACAGTAAAATGAGCCTCATGAAGCCTGGATTACATGCTGCTCATTTGTGATAATGACCCTGTAGCGGAGAAAAATGTGATCAACAGAGATCATGCAAGGACTGGAATAGTGTATAGTACACACACAGCTGTCCTCTAAATTCTTTAGAACTATGAGGGGTTATTTAAACACATTTATTTTGGAGAAGCTTTTATCTAAAGTGATGTATTATTGAGAATGCAGGGTCAGCCAGTTCCTGGATCAATTGGGGTCTAGGGCCTTTCTGAAGGACCCAAAGCTGGAATCTCTCTGCCAACTACAGGATTTTAATAATAATAATAATAATAAATTTAATTTATAATGCACTTTACATTTTACATAGAAGATCTCAAAGTGCATACAGACAGTGAGAGAATGTCACAATTAAAAACAACAATAAAAGAGGAATAAAACAGTTAGTTAAGCAGTCATTAAAAACATTGGTTAAAAAGAAATGTTTTTAGGTTTTTTTTAAAACATGTAACAGTCTGTGGAGCCCTCAGATGTAGAGGAAGGGCATTCCACAGCCGTGGGGCAGCACTGGAAAAGGCCCTATCTCCAGTGTTACGGGAGCGAGTCCTGGGAGGGAGGAGAAGGTGTGTATTGGTGGAGCGGAGCGTGCACGGGTGACAGTGGGGAGTGAGGAGTTCTTTATTTTAACTGGTGATGGATATGAGTCCTAATTCACAGAGCCACACACCCCCCTCTACCATGGCGATTCATATAGACTAAATACCGGTGAAATGGTGGCCCCCCCATTTCTCCAGGATTGCGGGCTCAGAATCCTATCCTTGTTCTGTGTTTATGCAGATTTTACGCAGGTTACTTATGGTTATGGTTATGGTTAGGGCAGGGTAGGGGTTGTCATAGTTAGCGTTAGCATTTTTCCCATTGAAATGAATGAGCGGTCCCCATAAGGATATGTTTACCCTACATGTGCGTGTGTGTGTGTGTGTATGTATGTGTGTCTGTGTGTGTCTGTGCATGTGTGTGTATGTGTGTGTGTGTGTGTGTGTGCTCCCTGGGATGGCGTACATGCTTACTGTGACTTGGATAATCAGTAACAAATACCCTATTTTCAAACTTCTAATAACAAACGAAATCCAATGCAGCTGCTGTTGTCCATTTTGTTTGTTAAATGTACAGCGAGGATCCTCTGCTTCCTCCTTAAGTGGATCTTCACATTTTTAGGGAATTATGTAATGGGCTTTAATTCTCCCATCAGAGGTGCGAACGATGCTGTAATTTGCAGGAATCCACCCCCGCTGTCGGCACTCGAGCGCAGACCGCGTGCTGGATGGGTACAGTGACGAATGCTCTTCCCAGTCACTCTGTTCTGGAGTTGTTCTGTGCTGCTTTTTAACAGAAAACCCTTACTCAACAGTGTACTCGATGCATGCAGAGTAACGTATTTTCAATGTGGGCTAAAAATAATGGTGAAAATGTACTGGGCCGCGTTACATGCGGCTGAATCACTGGTTTTCAGGCATGTAATGGGAAGAGTCTGAAGAAAGTGTAAGATGCAGTTTTGATAACTTGAGAATATTCTCTCTTTTATTAATTCACTGTGGCGCATCACTCAGTTTCCTTCACTTCTTTTATCACTCTCCATTTTAATTTCCTCCTCAGTGTATAAATGCTTCCCCTGGTATATCTTTTTTTTTTTTTTTAGTGTGGCTCAGCGGGTTAGGACCCTGTGCCCCTGATCAGAGGGTTGTTGGTTTGAATCCCAGCGCCAGCAGACTATTGCCACCATTGTGCACCTGAGCAAGGCCCCTAACCCCCTAGGCCAGGGGTCGGCCACCTTTTTTACCACGTGACTGCGGCTCTCCTCATAACGATGGACGAATTCACATTGTCCTGTCTTAACATATTATGATAATACTTTCGTAAAGATATATAATTTATTTATGGGTTAATATTATTATTTGTCGTTTAGATATTTCTTTAGCTATATTAGAATGCCGCAGTCCGTCACATGCTTTTGTTACATCTTAACTGCATAATTTACATCTTCCTCAAAGTCATTTGCTAAAATGAGATTACGTCTCTGGTTAAATGGTATGTTTTCCAGAGTTTTCTTAAGCACCTGGATGTACGCTTCAATGTTTATTGGGATTCCTAATTCTTTCATATACTTTTTGTAGTAAATTGTCGCCACGCCTTCCCAGGTCTTTATAAAAATAATTATATTTTCTCCAATTTACACATTATAGCCAGCTGAGTTGGGAGTGGTGAGTACATTTTGCACAGCTCAGTCAGCAGAGTTACATTGCTGAAGTGGAGAGCGAAGGGTGGATGACTACAAAGCCAGACGAAAGGAGGGATGAGGGTGAAGACTATCGCTATAGAACTAATCAGTGTTGTACTGTCAGTCACCTTTGTGCTGTTACGCGTCTGAGTGATTTAAATCGGAGATGCCCCCCCAAAAATTGTTTTTCTATAATAGTTTTTGTAAGTACTTGATCTTTTATTTTTGTGTTATATGCATATATACACATATCACATTAAAAATCGAATCTCAAACCCCTTTCTTTACCCAGTGTGGGTCTTTGTAAATCTTGGGTCAGACATTTAGGAGAAAATGGCTCTTTGCATTAAAAAGGTTGCCGGCCTCTGCCCTAGAGATACTGCATGCTGGCCAACCCTGTGTTGTGACCCCACCCCGCCACCCCCGCATAGCGATCATCATACTACCGGGCTGTTTAAATCATGGTCCTCAAGGTTCAAGCCCTGCTGATTTCCCAGTCTTCCTTTACCTGTGAGCCAGGTGTGAAGTCTCTGTGGCCAATCAGAATCAGTAATTACTGTATTAACCTAACTGTAAGACTTAAAGCACTCATGTATAATGCATTATACATACCTTCATAATACATTATGACGCATTTATAAAGTATTATAAACATGGCTATAACTATTTATAAAAAGGCATAACACACTAGAGCTAGGTTTATTATGCATTATGAATGCTCTATGAAGCTCTTCTATAATACATACCTTCGTAATGCGTTATAATGGCTGACCATTATAATGCATTATGATGACTGCATTAATTAAGTAAAGTGTTACAAAACTAACTACATTGAACAACTGAAAACAAGTCCTGGATTTGGAATCAAGGGGCAGATTTACAGTGTCCCTTCTCAACAGTATCTGTTCTGTTCATTTAATCCTTGCCTTCGTTTACTGATGCCCTGACCCTCCGTGTCTCACTGTGCAGGCTCCCTGTGAGGCCCTCCACACCCCATCCACATACCCCGCCAACATGCTACCTCATCATCCTGGGCAAGGCAACTTCGAAGACTTCACCTGCTGAGTCAGTCGCCACTAAGGAGTGGGGCAGAACCTTGCCGCAGGCCGTCGGCACGGACAAGAGAAACAAGTTTAATCTCGGAAACAACGCTACCCAGAATTTAACAGGAAATAAAACATGGTAGCCAAAAGTACTTGTCAGTGAATCCGATATTACCTGATACGTAAAGTCTTGTAGATGGATAAATTTTAAAATATGAGTGAAAACTTTAATGATCAAAAACTAATTTCGCATAACTGGTCACGCCCACATTGAAGCCAGTTATGCGTGGATGTAGATGAACTGGAAATTCCCCCCTCGGAGACCAGTATAGAAGCCAATTCCTCCCAAAGCTTTGGTGTCACATGCAGTGTAACCCAACTGTACAGTCCCAAACTGGCTTGTTAGGTCATTAGAAACTTTGTAGTGTTTACTCCACTGTAAATGTAGCAACGTGGGCTCACAGTCACAGCTGCTTACGACGCTGCAGCTGAGCCGTTTGTGTGGCAACAAGGAACCTGTCATCCATTAAAGAAGACATGAAATTACCAGTTTTCCAGCTTTACTGGGTGATGAGGGCCTGGGTGAGGGTGGAGCAGGTAACGGAATGGACTTCCATGCTTTATTTCAGACTGGTTTAGAATTGTATGAAAATTTTCAGGTCTCATCTCTCATATGCATGCTAGTAACTCATCCCCTAGTGCACGTATAAACCATTGTTAATTTTTTTCGTCTCACTGTCCTGTTTTTTTTAACTGCCCCATTTGTCTCAGTCACATATACAATGAATTTTTGGAAAGGAGACGTTGTCCTGGCTTCTGGCTGCATGTGCGTGTGTCTGTATCCGTGTCCCTGGAGATCGAGTGAGAGGGGCACGGAGCCAGTTTCCGTAGTGAGAGTGAGCTTTTCAGCCTAGTTTGGAATCCCTTTAATTTAATTTTAGGATCTATGCCTGTGTTTGACTGGCCCCTTGTACTACCAGCAGAAAAAATCCTTGTGGAGGATTCAGTGCACGAAAAATAACAGAGCCCCCCCCCAAAGCTGTCCTGTGTCAGTCTGAACCCAACCACTAATAAACTTCTTCTTGTGCGCCCCTGGTCTCGGTCCATGGACTTTCTGAGATGAAACGGCCTCTCTGACTTACTTCATTAACTTCTATAAGGTTCAAATGCTTCAATCAGATTTTCCTCTCAGCTGCGTTTTACTGAGACTAAAGAGATTAAGTGCCTTCAGTCTCTCTTCATAGATGATTTCATTCAGATTAAGAAGTGCTCCAGCTGCTGGACTTGCTCCCCCTAGGATAACCCCTCTAGAACTGTTATCTATGTTTCAGCATAGAAAAATATCAGCACTCTGGCCACATCATGTCCACAGAATCCACCACGATGTACCAGACATAGAAAACACACCTTTTCGGGCCAGAATGACAGATGTAAACTCCATTATGGTTTAAAGACTGTTCCTCTCCTTTTATGTGTTTCTGTGTTGTCTGTCCAATGCAGGATCCCAGTCACTGTATTACAAATGCTTTTTTCATCACTAATTTCTAATTTAAAAAAATTACATATCCCTTTCTAATCATGTGTACATCAATGAACATAGAATATGTCTGTTTGCGTATAAATGGAGGATGGATGTTTGTGGGTTTGTGAATGGGGAGAGGGCCGTGGTGTATGAGTGTATGTGTGTGCATAAATGGACAGAGGATATTTTGCGCATGTGTGTATGCATGCATATGTATGCATGTGCATATTCACGCGACACGGCAAAAAGGACCCCAGACCCGCAAGGGCTCTGCATCTCTGCGTCACGCTTTTATCGGACATATCTGTCATTATTATTACTCTTCATGTGCTGGAACCAGCTGAGAATGAATTGAGAATCACCACTTCAGGTTCCCATCTTATCTTGTCTGTGCCATCAGCTGCTTATGGGTGAGAATTTACTTATACATTATCATAAGCGCTACATCTGTCGCAGCTTTTCCAACACAGCAGTACCATATATGTTAAGCAGACTACAGGATGTGTGTTGACTGTTACAACTGTGGCTTGTCCCTAATGTTAGAAGTTTATTTGCAAGCAACGCAGGCTTAAGCTAACTGGATTGTTTAAGAAGATTAAAAAGCTCCAGCATGTCCTATAGATGCTATATCACTGTTTCCTGGAGTTGTATGAAATAAGGAGTTATTCATTTTTGCAAACTATCATTTTTATTTAATTCTCATGGAGCTTTGAAGTTATAGCTTTTGGATATATGATTTGACGGTTTCTTAATTTCTCATTCATACTTTGAATACACCAAACCTTTTATCTCAACTGTAAAACAAAATACTGCAAAACATTTAGTGTCCAATTCAATGTCTTTAAGAAATGTTTCATCTTTATTATTCTGCTTATTATTCTGTATTTTTATTTCAGCTTTTCTTACATTGCTTTTAGAATGTATCTCAAAGTTGTATTACAATTATATTTATATTTGAATACAATATTTTCTTTCACAGTTATGGGAACTGAAGAATTCCAATCGAAATTGTTCAGGTTTTTTGAACATTTTCTGGAAATATGTCTGTCAGAATACCTTTAATTTCTTTTTCATTTAATTGTGTTGATTGTGTCTTCTGTGTTTGCAGCCTCCTATGATACTAAAAAGTTACTGCACTTCATAGCGGTGATTAATAGGTGTTGCAATGATACCTTCTGCCCCCTACTGGTCAATCAGCAGTTGACTTTTTTGTATATGAGTTGGAGGTGGCTTTGAAAAACACGGTATTGGCTTTACTTATTTACAATTTACAGACTCCAGAAGCAGTTATCAGCGGGTGAAACAGTCATACACAGCTGATGATTTCTTCCTCCATTATCTGGCATTGTGTGGCGCGGAAATGAACACAACCAAAAGTATTTAAGGAGATGCTGCTGTCTGTAGCTGTTTTCGGAGATAACAATCAAGTGCTGAATTAAAGCTGTTTTTTTTTTTGGTGGTATTAAAACCAAAACCGAAACACCAAAATGATTTAGTCAAACAGTTTGATCATATTTTGTGTGTGAGTGTGTGTGTGTGTGCGTGTGTGTGTGTGTATGAACACATCCCACAATTGGTCATCTGAATGTTTTGCCGTGCATTTCCAGTCTGTTTGAAGGTGGGAGGAAAGTTGGGAGTACTGGATACGTTTTAGCTGGGGCTCAATTGCTTTTGTCTTCTGGGATTTGTGTTGGATGTTTGAACCTAATGGGAAAAAGAGTATTTTATGAAACTGTTACAGTCTGATACACAAGCACAAAAACTACACCACTGGTATGTAAAAGTGGTGTCACAATATCATCAAAGTCTTTCACTATTATGTTTTTATCATTATTACTACAGTTATTGTTACTGATACAGTATTAGGCACATTTATACCTATATTAAGCATATTTTTTATTTTCTACCATAAAACCATGTATATTACCAGATAGTCCAGCATCCACCTTTTTAGACATGACTGTCCTACTGTTCTACTCTCATGAGGTAAAAATAAAAAACAAAAAAAACCTGTTACTTCTATTGTCATGCTTATTTTACATTGCTTAGCGTATAGTGCAGCAGCATCAGAACATAAATGACGTCATACCACTGTTTCTGACATTTTTGTTTTCAGCTGTAGCCAATGTCCTGAAGATGACTTTGCATTTACCTGAATAGTTTGACTTTAATGGCGCTCTTCATCCACGTTTTCATAACATAACATTCATTTTAGTAACATAATGAAGTTTAGAATTAAAGCTGCATTAGCCTGAGACAGAGGATGAGAGACAGAGAGAGTCAGAGTGAGATTGTTGGCCTGCATTGAGTAGACAATGCAAATTGAGTAGTTTGATTTGTTATTTTTTTTGGTTGTGTTTGGCAGAGTTGTTAGACCAAACTTAGCTGGCTGCTACATTCTGTTGAGCTACTCTTTTCAGTTGCAGTATAAAACCTAGACAGACATGAAATCAAGATCATTTGTTCCTGCAAGGCTAAGAGTGGACGTTATTCTGTTTGTTGATAGCTATTCTGTTCCCTTGTTCTGCTTTGTTCTGAGACCCATGGTCATGAATATTTCCTCAGTATTACAAGCCTGGAAGTAAACAGCACAGTGTTTATTCCACATTTGACTGCTTTTGAGGCTGCATTTTCATTCGATTTACATGCAAGATGTGCCTTGACTTTAGTCAGACTAAGAGAGATAATTGCCCTGTTATTTTTTGTTGACATCTTCAATGATTTCCCACGTATTATCCAACACAACAGACTATGATGCAAAACACTAGACCTCAAAACCTCTCAAGCTCTTTTCTGAATGAAAGCAAGTATACATCGCTGCAGCCGGCAGCCAAGTGTCGAATGGGAGGGTCCATGTCATGTATCATGGGCAATGGCAAGTAGGAGGGGTTTATGGTTAGGGTTTGGGTTAGGGTTAGGGTTTGGGTTAGGGTTAGGGTTTGGGTTGGAAAAAGGGGAAATTCTGAGATATATTCTAGTCACCATTTCAGTACGTAGGTCCAGTGGAGAAATGATTTGCTGTCGTCCTTAGTGTGTGACCTTAGGTGGTCAGACAGAAACCCAAACACAACTGTCAAAAGCAGTGAAGCTTCGAAGCCTGTGCTTGGTTGCAGTATTGTACAGTCAATCCATTTCGTTCAACCCAATAACTTTTTATTGGGTTAAATTAATTAAGTTATAGGACTAGATTACATGCTCATCCATGCTCAAAAACTTTATAAAGACCTATTCTCAGATGTAACCTTTTATAGAACTGGGGAACGTGCTGCTTAAAGATATCGACCTGAACATAAATGATTCAAGTTCAGGTCAGGCCCTGCTGTAGTAAGCTCAATCAAGCTAATTAACCTGAAATGCTCCCATAAAACATTTTTAAATATCTAAAAACTGTAGGTCACTTTGGAAAAGGGCATCTGAGAAGGAAGCGTAACCCAGCAGTGATTAACAGCACATTATAATCCCGCCCACTGCTGGTTTTGAAGCCTCATTTCTCCCATTGAGCAGAAGTTTATATGATTTGTAGCATCAGCCAAATGTTTTATTGTTGCAATTAAGGCTCGATGGATTCCTACATCCTGGGGAGGGGGAGGGGTGGGGGGCAAGCTAGCAAAACAAAACTTTTGAAAAGTGGTTGTTAGAAGTTTGCGTGTTTAAGCCAGGTCTGAGGCCGCTGCCCATTAACTGCTGCAAAAAGCAAGAATCTGGCAGGCGGTTTTGTTCTGGATGATCGGACAGACAGCAGCAAACCCGGGGGAGGCCAGGGTGGAATTTGACAGCGACGTACCGCACGTCTCCGCCCGTTCCAGCTCAAATTTGCAGAAACTGTCAGGCATGAACTTACCGAGCTGAGCTCCACGCCAGCCCATAAGTAGGAGAGACAGTCTTGATGCCTGACTGTTTCTGTGAGGAACGGCATGTGGGGTCACGTTAAACCTGCCGAAAGCCTACAGCCGAGAGAGAAATATACATTCACTGTAATGGAAGCCAAACATTGGTAATGTGATGTAACATTACGAAAGAGTACATTTTAATTCGCTGTGCACATGTACGGATTTGCTTGAAACCCTTATCTCCTGTTCCGGGGGATTAAAAGAGATAAGCTTTCGCATCCCCACAAAAGTCGAGCTGAAACAATAGACACTTTCTGCAGGCTGTGTAAAGCATCTTGATTAGACACTTTTCTTCCTTCTGAGTCACCATCTGAAGGTTACTCCGAGTCCAGATTGTCAGGCGTCCAAGTCCCCAGTGCATGAGGCACGTTAGTGTGTTGGCCATGCATCTGCTGTCCTATAAATATTCTCTAACGTGTCCAAGTCATTTGTTAGCATCACAGGGAAAAAAAAAGCCCCAAAACTCATTGCACTTACATGTTGTTCGTGATACGCACACTGACCCCTTATTGTGTATGTGTGTATCTTTATATATAGAGGCTGTACCTTGAGCTGGCCTGGCTTCAATGGCAGACCTCTGTGCCTTTGAACAGGGTGTTATTATTTTCCCACATCTGGCGGCTCCTTCGGTGACAAAGGCTGTAATAGCTGTTACATCACATGTGGCGGTGGGGGGGGGAGGTGTGTTGGGACCGTCACTTGTGAAGAAAGATCATCCTCATTTGGCTGTGGGCGAAGGCTCTCTGAAACAGACCATCTTGTTTCTTAGTTAATGCTTAGTTATTCCAAGAGAGTTACGAGTTCTGCCCAGTTAAAAAGCTTAGCTTACTACTGGAGGTTTTCAGGTTACAGTTCTCAGTATGACCCCCCCCGCCCGCTCCTGAAGCGTGAACCGAAATCCTTCTGATGATCATACTTCCTATACTTGCTATCATACTTCCTGCTTTGGTAGGGATCACGCAAAGTGACTGAAGACAGACTATGGCCGGATGCGGTCGTCGTGGGCAACCTGTTGAAGGCACCAACCAGAGCTGGCTTTCGTACCAGAAGCTTGGCAAACGGGCCCCCGCCGGCAGCGAAGGCGTGCAATACTCCTTGCCGAGTCACCCTCCTGGCGAGGCTTCCACCCCCTAGTGTCTGCCTCCTGCGACAAACCATTTCCACCAAGCTTGCAAGCTACCTTCTCATGGCAGGAGTCCGCAGGAGTCCAGACCTGCTGCCAGGAGCAATCTCGTTTGAATCGAGTCACATTAGAAGCCTGTCTAGAGCCAGCTTGCCTTAATTCTGCAGTCGTCTTCATTTCCACGTCCACATCCTGTGTAATTATACACGGCTCACAGACCAGAATGTCACTAATTATTCATGTGTCACATATCCTCTGAAAAGTCTCATACAGAAGCTCCATTCTCGCTTTCAGGATGCCTTGTCTATGCAGCCCCCTGCTTTTCCCCTTTCATGTGCGGCCGAACACGCGTGAGATAAAGGACGGCCCTGCCATTCTTCATTACTCCCCAACAAGCGTGACAGATTAGGCACCCCTTTCTTTTTTTTCTTCTCTTGCCGTGGCTCGAATTTATCCTGTCCAATCTTTGGGAGTAATTAGTGAGTCCAGCCGCTCGTCACAGATAAGGCAGCTCCTTTCTCTCCTCGGGCTCGGACCGCGCGTGGTCCTCATTAAGACGATTAATCGCTCCGCCGAAGAGCGCGCGGGGTTTGGCGGCGGCGGCGCTACCTTAATTACAGCCGCGCCTTTCAAGCCCCCTCGTTTATTTCAAAACGGCGCCATCCATCTCTTGTGCACGAGAAGGAGGATCCGCTGCCCTACCCAGACCTTCACCCCTCCCTCCGCCCCCATCGATAATGTCGCCCTCTAGATTTGATGAGAAATTTTTTTTTTCTTTGCTGAAAAGTCAGATAGGATTTGCAAAAAAGGGAGGTTCGTCTGCATCGCTGGCCCGTCTGTCTATATATCTTCTTTAATTTCCAGATGAACGTCTGCTTGGGTCGCAGATGAAACGCTCTGGCAATTTGAAAAAATTGCCCTGATTTTTTATGCTTATAACATTAACTGAAATTTGTAGTGGATGTTATTTTAAAGTATGACAAGATTTTTAGAGACCATTACTGCAATAATTCAGTGTAACTGCATTGCCGGTTCCCGGTAAAGAGCAAGCTCACTCCTCTCCATATCGATGTGATGGACCCCAGTGGGCCATGAGTGTTGCAGAGTGTTAAATGTTCAACATTATCCCACTATTCCAAGCAGAGAATCCAATATTGTACCATGTAATTTGTCTTTTCCATATTCATTTCAGATTCAGATTTCTTTTATTGATATTTTTAGTGTATTTGCATAAAAGAAATGCTGTTCCCCCAGACCAAATTGTGCCATAATGAAGAAATATCACAATAGATAGATAGATAGATAGATAGATAGATAGATAGATAGATCTTGTCTCCGTCTCACCCTGCCTTGGTCTCGGTAATGACTTGGTGGTCTTGACTACATCTTTATATCATTGTTGGGATTGGGGTTTCGCCCATAGAAATGAAAGGATGGTCCCCACAAAGATTACAGTTCTGTAACTGTACAAAGAGTACAGTTCTGTGTGTGTGTATGTGTGTCATCCGTGCCTATATGCATATATCATGTGCTTCAGTATTTCATGATGCAGCTTAAAATTCTTGGATTTAATATGTATATGTCAGAACATAATCTAAGACAGTATTTTCCAAGAAACCTTCTCTCAGCGACCTCTTAACTCAGAATCCCATTCTTGCCAGTGCACATAAAGCTATCCACTAGTCACGTGTTAGAGGTTCAGCAGTACACCGATGCAATTTATCTCAATACTTCCTCTTGCCACATGAACAAGCTGAGAAAATAATATTCTTCATCAGGCTATTAACTATTATGAAGTGTATTGACAAGAGGAATGGGAAGATGTATGAACCGTCAATACCAGAAGGTGTACGGAGATCTGAGGCATCATTAGAACTACAGCCAACTGGACAGCACGGGTATGCAGGATATCCTGGGTTTGCACACTGCTCGCGTTGAAGCCCCCCCCCCCCCAAATATAAAGCTGGGAAATTGACCTAGAGGGTACACTTCAACCTTCA